TAATGCATGTTTCACTAATATAGCAGCATTCTTTTGAAAGGAATGTATCCAGAATATTTAAAGCCAGGTAATTCTGGTGTCCATCCAAATTTTATTGAATATTGTAAACCAAGCCCCTGTCTTTCCCGTAGAAAGCACATGCTTGGTCTTGATAACAGCTACATGATTGCTAGAGGTAAATGTAGCTCTCTGGGTTGGTATTTTATGCCAAACAAATGAAATCAGCAGCAGAAGTTTGTTGTTGTTGTTGATGGGTTTGGGTTTTTAAAACTTGAATTACTAAGCAAACCAACTTCATACCCCAGTACGCAGGTGATGAATCAGCAGCTGCAATTAAGCTTACAGTCATGTATCCTGGGAAGGAAACAGCAGGCCAGCACTAGGAAGAGTCATTCATACACTAAAACCCTCTTCTGTTGTGTAAATTGGCCACTGGCAGCAGCTTCCTGTACAAGAAGGGCTTCCCCAGATGTGCAGTGGATTTCAGAACCTCACTGCTGCTGAGAGTCCTCATTATAATGGATGCTAAAGAGATCAAATCCACATCCAAGGCAATTCAAAAGAAACACCACTAATGAATTAAAGACATCTTTCTTTTAGGAGATCAATATGAAACCGTGTGGTAGCAGTTTAAGCAACTGGATTTGATATGCTAAAGAGCTCTGAGTGTAACAAAAATAAGCACTGTTAATGGATAGATCCCGATATACAGAAAGCCTTAGAGTCCAGACAAGAAATAAACGAAATCCCACCAAGTCTTTAGATAATAAAGCATAATTTTGAGTCAATTCTGTTCTGACACAAGTTTACATTCAAGATCAGTCTACTAAACAACGGCTACACAGGAGGTTTTACAGAATCACACGGCTCTCTCTCCTCCTCAAGTACCCTTCTTTAAGAACCATCTGAAGTGCTCTAACTGTGTCATAAGCATCTCAGTCTTCAGAAAGTCAGCAGGTCCCAGATTCTCCTATGTGTGTTAATAAGAACAGCAACAATTCAGCTGAATAACATTTTCAGTTCATCTTGCAGATACGACAAGCTGCACACATGCTGCCAAGTGCTACTTAAAGTTACATCAACACGCCCATGTTTCAGTATTTCACATCATGTCCAGTCATACCCAAGTACAGAGTAAGCTGTAAACTTAACTCACTGAAGTTCAGGAGAGCAGAGAATCACATCCTCCTTCCCTCCTAATCTGATCAAACACACAGACCATCTTACACATGATTTAAGCTATACGTTGACCAGGAAATGTCTCAGGTCAATTCAGTATCCCCTTTTAAAGACACTCAGAACAGTACTGTATCATTTGCACACAGGCGACCACTTAGAAATAACTGGGTTTAAGAAAGGTATTAAGGCAGGGGGCCTGTAAAGGTTATCTTACTAACCTACATTACATGACACATTAGTACACAGCAGTATATTCAGAGGGCTCAGAAAAAGTTAAGCAAGAGCTATCTTGATATACAAACAGGGCTGTATGAATATATCCCGACAACCAGAAATGCTAGAGAAGCCAGAGAAACATTAAGATTTTGAGCTAAGCCAGTTTTTGATGGGTGGAGTGGGATTCCCACAGCGTTCACACCCACGAGAGCAAGTGGCAAAATAGCAGCTGTCTTTCCACTGAAATTCTTTCCAAGATGTACCAGAATTAATAGACACGTCTTAAAAGTTCCCCCTCAGTAGCAAGCACATCCTTATCAAGTGACTCCACCAAAACCTGACTGCCCAAATTAAAAGACATAAGGAAGAAAACATCCAAAGCCACCGCAGTATTAAGGCTCCTCTGACAGTTTCCGCAGGGACGTTTTAGATGGCCAGAAACATTCAGAGTACAGTCGTTCGAAGGACCATAACCACCACGAAATGCTATCCCCTACTCCTACCACATCAGGCACCAGTTTTTACGTGCTCCTCCAAAGCGCAAAGGTGACAAGAATAAACCAGACCTTATCAGCTGCGAAGTTGCAACCGAGCAGACAGGAGCACTCACTCCACAAAGCAGCACCAGCCTCAGCCCTCCCACCGCAACCATCGCACCAACCCCGAGAACTCCCATCTCCTTCCTCCAGCCGGTGCCAGCTCCGGAGGTCACTGTGCCAGCCGGCTGCAACCACCCCGGTCCCCGACCGGGAACGAGAACGAGCACGAGCACGGGCAGGCGCCTTACCGCGATCAACGTGCTGCTGCGGCCGTGCTGCTCGCCGCTCGCTGGCTCAGCGTCCAGGCCGTTGGCTCCGGTCCTGTCGGCGCTTCCCGCGACGGCGGCGGCCGGCGGAGGTGGCGCGGGCGGCGGTGGCGCCGGGGGCGGCTGCCTGTGCTTGCCGGCCCGCTTGGCCTTGGCCTGCAGGCAGCGCTGGTGCAGGGCGAAGGTTTGCTGGCGCTCCAGTTCCAAGCGCTCCGGGGACACGGCCTGGTAGCGGGACTCGCAGGCGCTGTGGTGCCGCCGGCAGAGCTCGATGCGCCGGCGGAGCCGCTCCATCACCGCGCTGTGCCGCGGTACCACGAACTCCGCCATGGGGCAGGAGGGCAGCACCATGGACCGGAGACCGATGGGGGCGGCCGCCGCCGTTCACCGGCTCTTCACACCGGACCCCGCCATGGCGGGGGCTCCCCACGTCGGGCCTTCCCTGGGCTCCCCCGCTCCCCCCTCTGCCGCGGGCCTTCCCTGGGCTGCCCGCCGGGTTCGCCCCCGCCCCGGTTCCTCCCCTCCCGGCCCGGCGCGGTGCCCGCTGCGCTCCCTCCCGCCCCACTTCCTCCTTCTCCCCCGAGGCCGGTGCCGCTTCGCTTCCCCCCCCCCCCCCCACCTCTCCCTCAGCCCTGACCCGGCGGCTGCTCCCCACCCGCCGCAGGGCCCGGCCGGAGCCCGCCGCGCTGCCCCGCGGCCGCCGCTCTCAGGCACGGTCCGGCCCGAAGCCCCGGCTCCCCATTGTTATCCGCGCCGCCGCCATCTTGAAATTGTTTTTCCCCTCAAGAGCCGAGTTGAGAATAAATAGGCGGAGCTTCCTGGGTGGCGGATGACGTCACGGCGCGTAACGCGTCACGAGCCGTGATGGGCACCCTGCGAGCCAATGGGAAGCGCGAGCTTGCGCAGCTGAGGCGTGGGTGGGCAGCGCTGAGAGCTGGAGGCGGCCCCCGGCGCATTTAAAAGGCCCTGGCACGAGAGGGGCGGGGCATCGGCAGCTCAGCCAATCAGGGGCTGCGAAGGGCGGAGCCAGGAGTGAGTGGCAGGTGAGGGGGGCACGAGCGGCACGCTGCGGGTCTCTGCGCTCGGAGGCAATCGGGAGCGAGGATGAGGCTCGCTAACGGCGTAAAGAAAGCCAGACCGGGTTGAGTTTCGTTATTGATTAGTCTTTATATATATATACACACACACACACACACACACACATTTTTTTAGTTGCACCTTTTTTGAAATGGAGAGGACATTCGTGGAAGTGAATCGTAAGTCCTTGCTCAGCAACACTAAACCCCAAACTCAAAGAAATCTAACCAAAAACCCCTTTCTGACACTATGAGGGAAAAGTGGTATTATTTGAGGAACAGTCTGGGATAGAGAGGTAACCGCAGCTCAAGCTGAGCACGGTTGTTGAGGAAGGAGTGAGACAATCCACCACAAGATGCTCTCTAATAGCAATTAGCACTTGCAACAATCTCCCCTCAAGAGCAGGAGTCAATCATCAAAGAGACATTGACAATACATCCTACAGGCCACACCCCACGAGCTGCTGCAGCTGGTCAGCTGCATCTTTATCAACCCCCTTCACTGAGCACCGACTCCAGGAGAAAAACCTGGTTTCAGCATTTCTGCTGCTCCTAGTCCCCGTTTTGATTCACCATCTCAGCCCGATATCCCTCACCTCATGCACTCATGCTCTGTGGAGCATCATTCTCAGAAGCTGCCACATTAGTGTGCACAGACACAAAAAGCCCAAATCGACCTTCACATATTCACAATTACAAACTTAGTTCAGTTACAACCAGTAACAGTGCTTCAGGGCCCTGAAATCACAGCTATGCTTTAAAAGTACTCAGGAGATAACTCCTTTTTTTCCGCCAAGGCTTTACAAATACAACTGATCCTAAGATTAAACTAAGCCACCCAAGTCAGAAAGCAGGATAAAAAGTACCTTGAGTTGTCTATCCATTTTGGAAAGTCTTCATTTATTGTAGTGATTATTTAGGAAGCATACACTATGGTATCAAAAAAGGCTGTAACATGCAGACAAAGAGACCTTTTCAGCAGGTTTAGCAGAAGCAAATGTAGATTTACAATTAGCTGGAATATAACACTATTTAAAAGCTGATAGCAGACCTTAAGTTCGCTTTTAATGCTTTGAAAGAACACGTATGCACATGGAATTGTTTGGAAATTTAAGGCAATTTGCATATGAAGATTAAAAAAAAAAACAATAGATTTTTATGTTGTGCTCAAAATGTTAGCTGAATTGAAACCATTTACATTATACTTCATCTCAAAGGACTGAGAGTCAATAAATAGCAGCTGCTCCTTGATAAAAATACAGTCCTGAGAACAAGCTAGTAGCAATGCTTAAGCTATGACATCTTCCATGTCAGAGTATAAGCTATTTTTGCAATAAGGAGCAGTATTTACCAGGTGTTGAACAGGCAAAGGCATTCTGAACATGCAATAGCTCCCAAGAGAAGTCTGAAATTATTTCCAGTATCTTGCTTACAATAGTTTATTTGCACACTGCAGAAAGATCAAGAAATCCTGCTATGCATTGGTGAGCACTAATATTTCAAACACAACAACCAAGGGATACAACATAAGGAGGACAGGCAGCAAAAGGTGTTTTACAAAAAAAAAACCAAACCCCAAATCAAGAGTCTTTTAGTAACTGGTTAGATTGTTTGCAAGGTAACTGCAACACTCTTCCTTCCCCAACCCCTGGGAATCACTCCCCAAACCAGACCTATGCTATGACCAAACAACACTGGAGTGTTTAAATTCAGTGCAAGAAGAGTAGTTTTAGGACATTTAATTTCACTCTAAATGAAAGGCAAAAGTTTATCTATACAGACATCCAAATGCCAACATATTTGGTACAGTGTAATGAAGTTACATAGATTTCACTCTCAGAGGTATGCTCCTGTGGTCACCTGCATTCCACAAAAGAAAAAGTGTTTGGAACAGTATAATATGGTAGACTCAACGCTTTAAAAAAAAATTTATTCAGCTGGAATTGGAACTCCCTAACATTCACAATATAATTTAGGATGCATTTGTTACATGAAGAGCAGGAAAAAAAAAAAGACTTAAACAGTTTCACATACCAGTTAAGATATCCCACATGCTCCTTCCCCACCTACAATACTGACATCTTGTTTGCTTGGGTTTTTGTTTTTTCCTTAACAAATACTCAGTTCAACTTGTCTACCCAACTACCTCCCCCATTCCTACAGGAGTAGACATACAGTGATAACAGTGAGAGGATATGGGACACTGTCCTATCCAGTGTTTGGACCCTGGAAAGGAGTACACCTAACTATAAAAACAGAGTTTGATGATGAGCTGAACATGAAGCACTTCAGCAACCGAGGCGAAGTTGCACTCAGAAAAAGCTGTATTGCCACAGAAAAAGGAAAGCATCAGTGGCTGAACAGAGAGGAAAGGGGGAAGTAATCTAACCCCACCCCCCACAATCCATTAGCTTTACACAGAAAGAGTTCAAGAACTAACAAAAGCCATTATCTGCAAGGTCTGCAGAATTAAATCCAACCTTAAGATGATCCACTCCAAATCCTAGATAATTTGTTAACACTTAACAGGGCTTTAGCCATGCACAGTATGCATATCCTAGAGACTAACCCCTCCTTCCACCCCTCCTTCCTCTTTCCCCTGCCCCCAAAAGAATGTAGTTGATTGATTAGAGAGTTTCACTACTGGTTTCCCTATACACCACACCCCAGTTTTCTTTTGAGGGCAGCGGACTTGTCAAATACATTGACAGCTTTTCTTGAAACAATTATCAAATTTTAAGGGATATAAAGACATTGGTGCATTTAGGAATTTACAGACTGGTAAAAAAAACTAGTTACAAAACTGCATTTGTATCGCCTAGCACTTTCAAGATTCATTGTTATTTCTTCACTAATTAATATATTAAATTAAGCCAAAAGTTTGTGACCGGAAAAGTTCTACCAATCTACTTAAAAACTGAAAAGAATATTTAAAACCAAAACTGAAAAGGTTAGTTATGTTACATTCCAAAATCCACAGCCCATTCTAGTAAATGCATTCTTTTCTACAGGAATGATGTTCTTTAAAACAGATGATTGCAAAAGTTTTACTGCTAGACACTCTGTTACATTGGATAGTGTGACTGGAACCTGTGGATGGTGAAATCTTGAGGTTTGTCCAAGTTTCAATGTAAGGTGTCCAAGGTCCTCTCCCAGAACCATGTTTGGAGAAAAAAATTGAAGAAAAATTACAGATCAAGTTCTTATGACTTTTTTTCAATCTTTTCTTGGCTTTCTGTTTCTGGGTGATCTATTCACAGTTTCTTCCTCCTGCAAGAAAGTAATGTGCGTAAACATCAAGGAAATAAAATCTAAGAACACCCTTAAATAAAACATTTTGAGCTAACCTGAAAGAATTATCTACTTTAGGATTTCATTTCTGAAAGTACCTACCACTGTTACACACTTCCTTTCTATACATGGCAAACACAAATCCTCTTGTTTTCACAGTGGACATACACTATTTGCTGAGAGTAGTCAGCAGCTTCTGCTGCTGTGAAAATCCCTTTAACTTTGAGCAACACTGCACCCATTTTTAAGTCAATCATTATGTCAGTGTGGAGCACTTAAGAAGTCACATCCTGGCTGCATACAAAGCTGAATAAGCCTTCTGCCTCAAGAGGATGCATTCCACAGTCCCACTCCTCTCACAGTGCAGGGTCTAGGGCAGTGCTTTTAGCTCTGCCGAAGGTAGCCACAGAAATTCCTATTCAGCAGGGTGATTAAGTTTTTCAGAGGTCTGATACCAGGAGGGAGTATCACATGAGCCAGGTTAACTTTTAACATGTCAGTAAAGCTTGTTCTACATGACTTAAGGAAAAAAAATGCACAAGCTTCCCTCAAACATTAAGCACTTTTACCTCTGATGCAGGTTTCCTGTCCTCTTCCTCCTCCTCTTCTTCCTCCTCCTCTTGACTAGCATTTCCTATATCAGCATCACTTTTCTGCTTCTCTCCTAAGGGAAATAAAAATACCTCATTCTCATTTCTGACTTCACTCCACCATTGGCTTTACTCTGTCTGCCAATCTTGCTGGTTTGTTTTATCAGAGAAAACACTCAGAACTGTTTCAAGAATATCTAGTTCACCTACCTAGCTTCTCCTCATTTGCTTCCTCTTCTTCCTCCTCTTCCTTGTCCCCTTTGTCTTTTTCTTCCTCTTTCTCCTCATCCATCACATCAGGCTGAGGAGCATCAGTCTTTTTGTATTCTGCAGCACTTGGCTGTTTCTAGAAACAAAACATTGTCAAAAGCAGGCAGTTACTTGTGACATAAAGGCATATTTTGCTGAATCTCTTTTTAAGCATAATACTATTTATAACTGGGCTAAATTCATACCTTCCCAGAGCAGCAGAAAAGGACAACAAGGAACACTGGCAAAGCCACAGTGAGGATGTAGACCACCCAAAGCCAGGGACGCTCTTCAGCGGCTGCCATCATCTGGCCCACAACACCAGGCTGTAAAATAAAAAGAACTGTCACATTTCATCCCATACAGCAAGTCACTGCAGTTAAGTTCCATAGATTTCAAATAGGCTTTTTGCAGCTTTAAACATTGCATTTCATACCTCAAAAAATTAAAGCTAACTTGCACAAGTACTTTTTCCACATAGTTTACGGATTAAGAATTAAACTAAAGCTAACAGTCCAGTTGTCAGAGCAAAAACATCACAAAAGAGCAGTGAGTACTCAGAGCTACTCATAGCAACCATTACTATATTATTATTAGGAACAGAGGTTCCAGTCTGACTTAGCCTAACACCCATCCTTGGCACATATGGGGATATGCTGATAAAGAGCATAGAGGGAACAGCAGCAATGCTCCTACTGTCCAAGCACACAGTGAAACATTTATTTCTCACCTCTGCAGCACCATCAGCTGCCTTTTTCAGTCCCCATCCATCACTGGCCCAATCATCAGCTACAGCTCTTTCAGTACAGATAATAAAGTTGTCAAAAAAGATGTCAGAAGTCATTGACCACAACTCAAGTCCCACAGCACTGAAGGGAGTCATCTTGAAAGGTTCCAAGTCTTCAAAGAAATCTGGGTTTGGGATCTTCCTAGGTTTCCAAATGCCCTAGGAAAGACAAAAGACATTCAGCCTCGCCTACTACAATGCAATTTTTAGTTTTCAACCCACTTTGAACAGAGTGAAACACCGATCCACTGCACTTAATTAGAATGTCTACCTGCAACTTGTCAGGGTTTGAGAATCAATTCTCATTTGTGCTACAGATAACTGAAGCCAAGCAAACGCTTTCCATGTCTCCACTTGAAACAGTACAATCACAACAGATTTTTATTTGAAATACAGTTCCTGAATCTAAATCCTTCTGTTTTATTCTGAGAGAAATACACTGGCCAGCAGTTTAAGCAATGAAAACACCAACCTGATAGTTCACATTATCAATCATAGGAGGCTTCCATTTGCCTTTGTAGTTTGGATTGTCAATCATTGGTCGCTGCCAGGTACCACAGCCAGGTGCTGCCTCACATTTAGGATTTGCAATCTGAGGTGCCTCCCATTCACCATCCATGTCCTCATCCCTGAAAAGGGAAATTAATTGTTGAAATCTGCCTCTTCCCTTTATACAGAATAAGATTTAGACACAGTGTAGGTCTGTAGATACAGATACCACAGAAGGATCAAGGATTTCAAGAAACAACTTGGAAGCACAGAAGCTCAACCAAAGCCAGTCTTCAAGCACAGCCTCTCCCACTGCCCATTCCAAGTATGGTACACCTGCAAAGTGACCATCCCTGCCCTGTTCACCTTATATCACAAAAGAATTGACAAGTGCACAGGGGAACACAAGAAGATAAGAATCTGCAGACCAACTCTACCTTCTATTTTTGAAGGAAGACAGCATGAATCAACAACTTTGTCAGCAAGCAACACTGACCTTGCTAAAAACCAGCACTAAAGCCATTAAATACTTGCTGTCATTTGCAACAGGCAGTAAACATACCAATCTTCAGGCTTCTCGGCATCAGGGTCCGCTACATATTCTGGCTCATCATCCAGCCAGCCCTCTGGCTTCACAGCATTTTCATCTGCTATCTTTGCAGGAGCATCCTCATCCCTTGAAAACAGATTATATATTAATACATACAAGACATAAAAGTTCTTAACGCCAAGGCATAACTCTACAGACTCTGAGAAAGCCCACTGATGTGGACAACCAGCCATCTTCATTGCTGGTAGGATAAGGGCAATGCCATTATTTCAGACCAGAATCGCACTGCAATCTGTTACCTAGATGTGCCCTCATGGCGCAGCCATAACACCAACTGTAAGGTAATACTACTGATTGTTTTAAAGCCAACCTAGAAAGGGTGTATTACAGCAAAGCCTGTATCTTGGTCATTGCTGCAACCACGCATCTGAGCTTGAAATCGAGTCCGTGGTTCACAAAGCACAGGTTCAAAGAGAGAAACCCAGTGTCAGTTTCTGATTTAGTATGTCAGATATTTCAGCTGCTTGGAACTATGTATTGCAGAAACAACCACAAATACCTTAGTTATACTTTCTGTAGCTCATCTTTTGATTTCACCAAGGATGAAAGCATCAGCTAGCACAGCTCTTTCAGCAAAACCTTTATCTGTGGCCAGCACAGCAACAAGAATACTAAACAGTAATTTCCAGAAGACACAGACTCTGCTTTTTCCTACCAAACTACTGCTCAGATGCCTAAACTGACTGTGGTTTGATTACAAGGGTAAGATTCAAAACCTTCTGTAAGTCATCTGAGAAAGACTTTTGATCAGGACTGAATTATCAAGCTATGGTGTCCTTCAATTCCACTCTTCCAACAGCTTACCAGTCATCTGGTTTAACAGCATCTGGGTCTGGGATTTTTGGTCTCTCATCCCAGTCCTCAGGCTTCTGGTCATTAGGGTCCTCGATCTCTCGGGGTGGATTCACAGGAGGGGACATATCATTTAGCAAATTCCCACTGTTAACAACCGTTTGATCAACCAGGATTTCAAAACTGTTATCAGGGTTCAAAACTGGAAGGAAAAAAGTTGATGTAGCCATTACACAGATGACAGAAAGCATGCATCATACAGCACCACTCATCCCCACCGTACAACTAAAGCTTCAGCAAACCGAGCTACCACCTACCCAGCGACTGTTTTATATGAACCTTTCTCCTTATGCCAAAGTATAACTAGTGATGATGTACCACATCTCAGCTTGTGAGAGAGAAGACTTATTACAGGGGTCCTATGTTAAATATGCTAAAAGCACAAAGAAGCTTCTAGAGCTATTACCAGTTATCACAGCAAGTTGACTTTGGCACTGTTAAGTATTCCCTTAGTAGCAAGAATGTATATATTCACTTCTACTCAAGAATAAGTCTCCTTACTACTGACTCGCAGGATTTTCATCTCACTCCTCTTTATCCACTGCTGCCTCTCTATAGGACAGGCTAGAGATTCTCCCGAGTATTCCTTGAAATATTCTAGTCATAGCTAACATACCAAACCAGACACTGTACTTCAAAACCCACTGAGTTTGTCTAGTACCATAAAAGCAGCAAGAAAAAAAAAAACATAGATCATCCCTGTAAATCTAAAGCCTAGCATGTCCCGAATTACTAGGAGGCAGCATTCAAGCAGTTTTATATAAGTGTTGCTAGTAACTTTGGATATACTTGGCAGATCAAGTTACTTACAGCTGTTCCTTTAATTACTAAGTTCAAGGTCTCATGACCATTCTTACATAAATCAAGATTTCTTGCAATGAAGAAATAAGCCTTTGTAAAACAAGACCAGTTTTTGCATTCAGAGCTTTCAAGTGGTCTTTAGTACTATGGTGTGTCAACACAAATATTCCATTCATCTGGCTCATTTTTATGAGCTTTTAATTCAGGAAACACAGTAGTAGTTATTAATACACATAATGAGCAGTCATCATACCTAGAGTGTAAAGATGGGTCTTCTTATCAGTAAAGTAAGTCTTCAGGTCCGCATCTGGACGCTTTGCATGCTTCTCCTCGTATCTGCCAGTCTTTGGGTTTTTGTGCCGGAAGATGAAGTGCAATTTATAGTCCTCTCCACATTTGTCAGGGCCAAACATGATTGTATATGGAGTTTTGTCATGGAACTGGTCCTTTAAAAACAATGCAAGACTTCATTCCAGTATTCTGAAATACAGCTTAAGTCACTGCCTGGCATAAGAAGTCCCAATTCATCAGGGATTATTCTACAATTTGGCTATCAAGCAGTGAAGAACCCACACTAAAGCCTGTATGAGGAATACAAGCCTTTAGAAAAAACACACTAGAATGATCCCAGCTGCTTGATTTTGCACCTTAGGTCTCTACTTCTCATATGGAAAACAGCAGCTATACAAGCGCTATCAAAAAGATAAGTGTAACAACCACAATGTTGCAAGTATACCTCCACGTTATCATAAAGCATTTTAAAAGCTATCAATACAGAAATATCATTTACTGGTAATAATGAATGAGTAGTTAGTCCAGTGAGTTTCTCCCACACAGTGATAAGCAGCATTAGAAGTGAGGACAATTTTTATGTTGTTTACACTTATAAACTGTGGTACAGTCTCAATCTGAAAGCTAACTGGATATAATCTCACCACTGAGCACTGCAAGCAAGTCTATTTGTTCTTGCTAATGGTAGTTTGAAATTCAATGCACATAAACTGGTTAGACAAACAGTCTTTCGGGTGTCCTTTTTTTAAAGGATAGTTTGGAATCTGTATTAATAATATACCTGCAATGAGGCTGGAGAAGGAAAGGAGAAGGATGGGTAACAATTCATAAAAGGTACTTCCTATAAAGTCTAGGAAGATGCCTAAAGAAAACCCATAGGCTACAAAAGCTTCTGCAAAGCAGTTAATCTTTGTCTGAACAGGCTAAACCACTTCAGGTGGGAATATGACTGAGAGGAGAGAGAATGATTCTTAATTCTTAGGAGTTGTAACATGGTCTCTTCCACTGACCACACTTCTAAAACAATGCATTCAAGGGTCATTTATGAAGTAAATGGTTCTATATAGCTCACGTGTGTAGCTGAACATGTAATATTGCATCCACACCAACCTCTCAAGGCAATTTTTAAATATACCCAGTAACTCTCAAGTGAGTTCACATGTCAAAAGACAATAAATGTAAGGTGTATTTTTAGTTATTTGCATTAGTCTCTTTTAGACAATAAAACATGGGATCTTCCTTCTGCACCAAGAGCTTCCCAAGAAGGTTTCTCCTCTGGCCACACACTGGCTACTCTCATGAGACACATCCTCTTTGGTCCTAGAACCTAAGGAAATCTGAAGGATTGCAGATTTTAGTAGAGATCTACAACTGCTCAGCTACTAGAGAACTGCAGAATTCTCACTCAAGAAGCCAGAAGATTTCAATATTTACCCTCTCCATCTGGAAACAGTGGGGAAAATGCTGAGTGCAAAGTATTCTGGTAATCAGGCCCTATATAAGCCCTTACTGCCTTTACTAAAGGGGCTTCTTCAAGCAGAAGCAGTATGAGAAAGTTTGCTTTCACAGCTAATACTCAAAGTAGCAGCGTTACTCACCAGGTTCAATTCAGGAGTTTTTGAAAGCAATTTCACATAGGCCCCACCACACTCTATTCCATTTTGGAAGTTTACTTCATACCTAAATTTTGGTTTTGGACAGAGAAGTGGAGAACATGTTATACGTAAGGAAAAGTTACTTCTGAAATACACAATTTTAATTTTCAATTACAAATTAAGAGTAAGACTGTTTTGTTGTTGCTTGCTTTAAATTTCCCAGTGAATATTAAAAGTACGCACTGCACCCTAAGAACTAATATTCATAAGGGCCTGAGAAACAAGGAAGAATAAGGATTCAGAAGACTTGACCTGACAGAAAAAATTACAGTAATTGAGTACTGGTCTAGAAGATCATGATCTAGAAACAGAGAAGGAAGAAAGAGTTCCAGTACGTAAAACACTGCAACAGAGATTAAGGCAAGCCAATTATTTTCTCTACAACTACTACAGCAGACAGACAACTCAGTCTGCAAGACAACCAAAGTGACAACAATTGGATCCTAGGGGAAGCCCCCTTAGGGTTATAAGTATGCAACAGTATATTTAGGGATGCCAAGGAGTCTGAAAAAGGCAAAACAACCCTGTCAGGAATAGGCTAAATATGCTTGATCCTCTCTCAGTGCCAGCAGCTGGAGCAGATGACCACTGGGATTTATTTTTAGTCAAGTATTTTGAGTCAAAACTAAGAAGTCAAGCAAAGCAGAGTGATCAATTTATCTTGTGCATATCTGAAGTAGCTTACTCTTGGTTTAAAACTGGTAAAGTTCTTACTGAACTATTTCCCCCCCAACTCGGTAGTCTAAAATACATGCAAACAGCTTTTTCTACATCAGTCACCGCCAGAGTTAGGCAAGCTGTTCATCTCCCATGATAGATGAACTAAGACAAAAGAAGGACAAGTGTCTTTACCACTCTGTCCACTCCACCTTAGAAACAGGGCAGTTTACTGCATAAGAAAGAGCACTGACCTACATACAGACCAGCTTCTGTTCCAAAGGACATGGACTTCCACAATTAGCAGTACAAAAGTCAGTTGCCTGACCTTGTTACTACAATTAAATCAAGTGAATTCAAGTCCCAAGACAGGTTACCAAGTCTTCTTTCCTCTTCAGGCTTCAGAGGGACTACCCTGTTCTTAACTTCCCACTTTGGGAATCTGGGTTGCTATTTTACTTTTACTTAAACAGTGTAATAATAGGTTGCAGCATCATGTGTCATCTAGACCCCCAGTCAACAAAAGCTCAGTTATGGAATTAACCTCAGCCTGCTATCATATCACCCTTGAAATAACAGAACCTGGAGTTATCCTTTACTTACTGTATAATAAGGGGTTTGGTATCGAATACAAAAGGCTTTGCAAGTTTGGATGAAATTGCATGGTGCTTGGCTCGGGTTACCAACACAAGCCCTTTGTCTCCTGGAAGCTTAGTATCCTTCATGTCTTGGACTTCCCATTTACCTGAAAAGAAATTAACCAAATGCTATCAAAACTTATTCAAGACAGTCTTTGTTTAGCCCAGTTTTGAGCAAGATAGTCAGCATTCTGCAATAATACCCTCCAGGACACATTAGCAAATTATCAATAACATCTTCACTAAGTTACTTTTAAATCTCCAAGTGGATATTTTGGCTAAATCAGAACTACACTTATATTGGCTAGCCAGGTATAAAACCCACCTCTCCCATATTCTTCAATGAACATACTTTTAACTGAGAAACAGAATACAAAGACTTGCACCTTTTCTTTAGATATGGCAAAATACATCAGAAACCATATATTACCCAGACCCAGGTTGGACTCACCGTCGTATTTGGCAATCTCATCATCTGTATCATCCTTTTTAGCTCTGGAAAGGATCCATCTAGAAGACAGACATCCAGTGGTTGGAAAACCATACTTTTACACACACACACTAAAAATCCTGCCCTTAAAATAAGATAGCCCTTGCTGTCCTATCATTACACCCCAGTGTTTTGATCCATCAAGGAGTTCTATCCCCAAGCCTGCAAAGGTTTCTGCATTTGCCACTCTCTGCCCCCCTTCAAAGTAGGATCATGGTCTCCGTCTTGATCTTGTAAAAAACAGAAGTAGTACCTCAATAAGTAAATAGTACTTACTTACCCAAGTAAGAAGTCAGATGAGGATTAAAACATTACATGTATGCCTCACCTCCCCCTTGTTACTAGAACTTAAGGCAACACTAATTTAACTCCATACTTTAACAGCCAGTCTCATCTAGTCACTGCTGTAATCCTCACCAGCCACAGCCCTTTAATTCAATTTGGGTAATACAGGCTCTAGAGAGGGTTTAATTTTTAATTATTTGCCATACTGAATACTTCAGCAATACTCACCCATCCAGAGTTCCTTTATCAAAGGACTCTGCAAAATACACCTCGCCAGTTGGGACTGGGGGCCTGTAGGTAACCTGTTGGAGAAGAGGAGCATTTACGCACCTTTCAAAGCACATTCTCTACTCTAAAGAAATACAGACACAGAACTCGCATTCCCACTTTACACTCAAGTAGAGTTTACCTGGAACACCCTTGCAGAATAAATACAGAAGCTATGTAAATACTGCTGCTTGAGCCAAGCCACTGTGCTCTTGTCTGCAACTAGAAGTCTATCTAGCTGGAAACATTAGGACTAACTCCTGATAATCACATCACAGATTTCAAGGGTGGATCCAAGTCCTCAGGAAGAATGCGGGGGACATGAGAATAGGAACAAAGCAGCTAAGCTTAATTCCAAGCCCTACTCCCAGATAACATCTTTAATAAAATCACAACATATTAAACGGTAGCAAAGACAACTCTGATCAGACTCACATTAACCACAACACAACCAGTAATTTAATCTTTTAAAAGAAGTCCCATGCCAAACCTTTGGAGTTGGAGGAGGAGTGCTCATTTCAGGCTTTGACTCTTCTGCCTCCTCAATGCCATCGTCCAAGTCATCCTCAATATCAACTACATCATCACCATCATTGTCATCATCCGTATCATGTGCCTGGACAGCAAGAGTCCCAAGAGCTAACAGGGTCACATACAGCAGCCATTTCAGCTCCATGATCTGAGTAAGACAGACAAGGCAAAGAGGTCAAGCCAGCACTACAGGCAGAGCATATAGGATTGCTTCTCCAAACCAAGCACCCAAGACAACAGGTAAAGTGCCTGGTCATACCACTGAAGGGCAAGTGCAAACTAATCTTTTCAGCTCTGTTATTTACTGCATCTGGCTGGTTGAGACAGCTCGAAAAGCCAGAGAGAAATACAGCATAAAGCTAAGTACTTAATACAAAACAGACATTAACCGAGCAGAGGGCCACTTGTACAAGTCCTACAGATCATGCTGCAGAAGTGCCCATTTTGTTTGCACTGCAACAAGGGGCAGGACAGCAGCCATGTGCACAGCACCACAACCTCTGTAACTGTAAAAACTTAGCAGAAAAACCCATTACTTACAAAGAACTTTAAATGTATCATGCAGCAACTGGAATTTCCATTCAGTTCAGAAATTGAAATACAATTAGCCAGCTCTTTCAAGCAAAGAGTAATCGATCCTCTACCTCCTGTTCAGTATTTTGTTTGTCCTTTCAACCATGGGATACTTCCAGTCATCAGACCCTTTCCCAGGTTTTATCATGGTCTTACAGCTAACAGACCCCAATACTACTGGCAGATGTCTATAAGCAGTTGAGGCTAGCGAGCTAGGCCCAGGAGAAAACTTCTTACTATTTAACAGACAATTGCTTTGATTCCCCTCTTTCAATCTTTAATTTAACAAGATAACCAAAGAAGCAGAGTATGTTAACTGAGGCTCTACAGAATTAAATTATCACACTTAGCTTATCACACTTCTTTATAAGGTGCCTAGCACATTATCACACCTGAAATATCGTAGACATTGTCAAGCTGTAGCTCATAAGATCTTGTAAAAGAGGCTTCAATTTGACTTTCTTGCTACAAAAACTACAAGATCACTGCACCTTTCTGTAGCAGAAGGCAACACTGAGCCTGCTGTGCATAGCTTTATCTGCCACAATAACCTGCGCCTTGTCACCTTTTCTCCTTTGAATCACATTTCAAATCTTTCTTCAAAAACCAGAGTTGTGACTAATACATTTTAGAAGTCAATACAAAATGAAACACCCCTCCTTTCCCAACACTCCTGCCTCAGGTCGTAGCCCTGTGGACTTACAAACATAACTCAAGCAGAGTTAATGGTGCCTGTAGGGGAATAAGATCATGCTAGAAAACAAACTTCAACTTTCCAAAACATGGTTAGGCAACTAAAAGAATTTACAGTCTTCAGTGCTTATCAGCACTATCCAATGCTCCAAAATTATGTTGCCGATTATTCTTTAACATCTAATAACAGAAGGGATGTCTTATAACTACCACAAAACTGTATTTCAAAGACCTCTGCTGAGGTCACGTCCAGTTTGTCACTACAGCAACATGTAATTGCAGCCAGCTCCCTAACAATAGTGATGGCCTTGAGGATTATTGTCTAAATGCATGTTCACAGCCCTCCCCCTCACAGCTCAGGCAACTGCACCCAAACACCTCTGAGCCCCATGAACACTATTCACAGATGACAGAAGCTTTCAAGTGTTGTTACATATGAGTAAAGCTCATTTGCTTAATGCACAGCATACAGCTAAAATTCAAGTCATAGACATCAGAGAAGGTCAGAGCTCTTACTACTGGAACCACAATATAAAGCCAAGGAATGAGAACTGCCAAACAGTTGGAAGTTGAAGCTCCTCATGCACAGATAGCAGTCTCTGAACAAACTCATGCCCACCAGCATAAAAGCAGTTACAGAACACAAGAGCCTGAGTTTCATTTGAAAAAGTGATCTTCAGAGCTCTGTCTGACTGAAGCAACTGCAGGTGAGACGGCACAAGGACACCTTTCCAAAGGAAAGTTTGAATTTTGTCTTACTTTACCAACAGGGGCTCACCAAATACATTCTTCACAGAGCTGAACTGAGGATGATTTTACCCAAATTTTACAACTGCTTTCAAGTTACATTATGCAAATAGAGTGACCACTTCATCATTTGCAAAGTGATACGAAGAAATTTGTCTTAGAAGTATAGCAAGACTAAAAATAAGCCAATTCTCTCCTAAGAGAAGGGAGTTCCTGCATACCTCCTCTCTAGCTTGTGCAAACGCTATTAATGACTTAGCATGCAAATAATCCTTTAAGTAATCTCACCACTAGCAATAAAGTTTTGGTGAAGGAATTAAATCATGCCAGTACTGACTCCATATGTAATAATTATGTACTTCACAATTCCACTTCAACTACAGCCCTTTGGAAGTATTTAGCATTTAGCAAAGCCCGTTTGCTGCTGACAACACATAAACAGCAAAGCCACGGAGCCTCATACTGCAGGCAAAGCTGCTCCAGAAATTCTTTTGCCAAAGCACCCCTGTGAAACCAGGCAATTCCATCAGTATCCCACAGAGCAAGGCAGAAGTTATGCCACTTTGTGCTCCTAACACAACCATAGCTATCTACCCTATACATTCATCAGTTTGTGCTTTGTCTCAATCTGAGGCCTCACGGAACCTCATCTCAAGGTAGAAAGGTAACCTGTTCAAGTCCCCAAGAAAGCTTCTTTCCCCTCTTCCAAAGACAGCTACATGCATGAAAAGAAGCTAATCTAGTTTCACATCTTTGCCTCTTTCCAATCACTGGCAAGCAGTATTCACAAGTTCATATCCCTACAAAAAGCTGTTTAGGACACCTCCTACATATTAAATCAGTCCCAAACTCAACATAAGCTACTACTCATACACCTTGAGCACAGACTGGCAGCATCTCCTGCAAATGCTACTTGTCATTTCAAGCTCCCTATTCTGCTGATCTCTAAGAAACAGAAGAAACCATGTCCTCAGAAGAGCAATTTAAATATCATAAATGTGTGCTCTGCTGAAAAAGCTGCTTCTACCCATAATGGATATGCTGCTACAGGAGAAAATTCCCACTTCACACAATCCTTAGAGACAACGCAAACACAACTACGCACCAGTAATTTAGGTTATTCATAAATAGGAGATAGAAAGGGAGAGAGAAGAAACTCGGGTTTTGTGTAAAACGGGCATGAACCCATTTTTCAGTGGAGTTTTAAGCTGCTAGCAACTACGGGTGTTCAATTAGTCACCTCAACTGTAGTCTAACCTCCAGATGCACAGCTACCTATTCCATTATGATCAGATTTCTCCCATGAAGTGTCCAATTTCCAAGCCATCATCACCATTAGCCATTTCTGCCTGCACTTCCCTTTTAGGTTGAACTGTGTAATATTTCTGAAGGTTAGCGTATTTCTGACCATGCAACAGCCAAAAGCCTTTAACAAAGGAACCCTTTCATAATAAGCAAGAGCTTCTGACGTTTCCATTCTCCCTTAGTGCAACCCTCATTTTCACAATAACAACATTTCAAGACAGAGATGACTAAAACTTCGTCTACTTTTCTTTTAGTAAGTTCTTCAGGCACTTGTAGACATTGGCACCACCTGGACTGAAGGAGAACTACTGCAGCATAACACCAAAGTACTAACTAGGAAGAGAGTTTGAGACTGTCAGGGCTAACAAATCACTTATTCTCTTCCATGTGCCCATCCACAGCCAGGCTTCTACACCAGAGAACTTACAGCTAAAATTTAAGCACTGTCCACCTGATTGTCAAAAGGCTGAAGCATTTTCCCTTAGAACTGACAGGAGCTGCACCAGAGCAATGAAAGCAGACACCCGGAACAGCTACGCTACAGACTTCACAAAATAAGAACTAAACCGAACTGGAGTGAGATTCAGATACAGGATCAGCTTCTTGCCTTAGAAGTGGCACTCCCAAGTTAGGGCTAAGTGATTGCTACCTCTGTGTTTCAAGGCCTCCAAAGGAAGTCATATAGCTTCAGTGATTTATCTTTATTTAGAATTCCTTTCACTGGGCATAAAGGGGAAAGTTCATCTTGACGATAGGCATGACCCTGCAAACATTGGACCCATACAGCAGACAGTTGTTTCCATTCTCTCCAACATACATGTCCTGGGGAAGGACAGGCAATGAAAGGGCCCACACAAAGAATGTTAAAGTCCTTTGCTATCATACTTACAGAACATACTATTTAGAAAGTAACTTCCCTGTCAGGTCAAACAGAGCCTGCAAAACCAGTTTAATCCTCTCCTCGGTTACTCATCTATTTGAGTGGTTCACCAAGCAAGTCCTTAACAAGGCATAACAGAATGTGTAAACTACATTTCAATTGCTACTGGCTATCTAGTTTACTACTTCATTTTCTTTTTTTTTAAAGAACTAACAGTCAGATGAAATAGGCCTTATTAAAAATAAGCTGCTATAAACTACACCCCAACAATTTAACTGGAAGAACAGCAGTGGTTTCTATTTCAGTAGCATCCAAAGCGATAGCTGAATGACTTCAGTAGATGAAGAGCAAAATTTGCTAGTAAAGTTCTGTGTTCCAAATGCTGTATTTCAGAATGGTATTTACAGTGGAAGCACACCAGTAAAAACAAGCACAAGGCATCCTCATGCAAGGCAAGAATTATGGAAGAAAGGTTTAAAGACACAAAAGACAGAAAATTCATCACAACACGAAAAAAGCAAGCAAGGAGACAAGAACAGAAAGGCCAAGACCCAGATACCCATTTTCCCCTCTCAAATTAGATTTGTATAGTTTCTGAGCAAAGGCTTGGCCACTCAACTGGGTAGTTCACTAGTTTCTCAAAGTCAGAAATAGTCAAGAGCAGCGGAAACCTCTTCCACATCTCACAATCCCTCCACCTTCCACATCCCAGCTCCTCTGCGGTGCCAGGGTAACTGTTTACACAGCCTCATGATGAGCTGCAGCAGGTTTATGATGGCTCAGAAGCCTTCTGCCATGTTATTTTAACCCTGAATCAATACCCCAGTCCAAGCCGCAACACAAAGGCAGAGTTGTGGCAGGACAAGTGAAAGTGCTGTGAGATAAAGTAGTCCAAGGATAAAGGAAATAAAGCTGTTGGGAGCACAGCTGGGTTAATGCCATAGTTTCAA